ATTGAGAGACACGAACGTTCGTCTCTCACATTTACGTAATAACTTATAATTTTTGTTTATAGAAAATCAGTTCCGTATTGGAAGATAGGAAATCCTTCTCTGTTGGCGGCGGAGATGAAAATAGATCAAAGAATAGAAGCGAACTGGTGATACCGTATGATAGAAATCGCGTGATACTCACGCCAGTTCCGGGAAGGGAACATTCGACGTACATAAACGCATCGTTCATCGAGGGCTATGATAATTCCGAGTCTTTTGTCATTACGCAAGATCCACTGGACACCACCATAACGGATTTCTGGCGAATGATCTCGGAACAATGCATCTCTACGATAGTTATGTTATCTGACGTAAGTATATTTTTTTGTGTGTATATTTTTTTTTATTTTTCTCTTTATTTCTTATTTTGTTGCAATAAAGAATATTGGTTTTGTTTGATTTGTTTAACTTTTTGCAAAAAAAGAGATAACTGTATGAATATTGCGTTAACATAATATACATGGTATGCAATTTCATACAAAAAATTTTTGGCGAAACTTTTTTTTTTAAACATCTTGCTTTGTGTATATAAAATCTTGTGTATAAAAAATTATGTATATTCCAATATAATTTAATTACTACAATAATACGTTAACGATGTTAATTTCTTATATATATATATATATATATATAAACACATATATGCACACTCTCGCACGCTCTCACAGGTACGCGGGATGCACGCATTCACAAAAATAAATCTCTAAATACGGCACGCGTGCGCGCGCGCGCACACGTCGAGTTCTTTCATCTTCTTCATCCGTCGGTCGCTCGGCGAAGCGCGAAGTCTTCGCTGAAGCTGAGGACCAGTCGCTCTGATCGGCAAGGATGCGCTTTTTTTTTTACTTCCCTTTGCGAGATTGGAAAGAGGCGGATCTCTTATGCTTATCCGTGTACGATTTACACTCGTCCTACTGTACCTCCGCAATGACAAAGGTCACTAGAAATGGTAAAATGACGGCGAGATGAGTAACAGCAATGTAAAGGATAACTTTACCGCGATTCGAATTGGAGTAACGGCTCTCTGTCGCCGAGATAATAGCGTTCGTATAATAAACCGAAGCGTCGCGATGGGGATGTAAAGACTAGTCGCTCCTTTTCTATATCCGCGACACACACGAGCGAAGCGGATCGAGTCGAGTATTTTCCTTTTTTTTTTCTTTCGCAGCATCTTCGACGAGAGAGCAACGCAATCCGTGTTGGTTGTGACGATTATCGTCGCGTCACGCAGCCGTATCTTCTCTTCCAACTACATAAGATCAAGCTCTAGATCGGTCTCTAAGCGCGTTTAACTAGCAAAAAGCCGCGTGTCGCCAGCGCGCGATCGCGATTTCGCAGTGACCTTTGCCTAAATCTCGCGGATCTCTAAATCACTAAGTTTTCGTTGCTAGCGCGCGGCGTGGAACGCGCCACGCCACGCGACCGTTAGTCTCCTGTGAGTCTTTTCTGTTAAATGGATCAGTCCGTTTGATGGGTGGGCCGAGAGTGTGAGACATTCGGGGTCCGTGAGGGCGGGTGAGATGAGGATACCGCGTGGTCTCCTCCAAAGGGACACGGGGCATCTCCCCGTCCGGGCCGGGTATCGGATACCGAGACGCGCGGGACGAGGCGATGCGCGAGAACGACGACGGCTACGGCGCACGACCGAAGAGCGAAACCGTACGAGCCTCCATACGTTGAAATCGACAGTCCGAGGATACGTCGATGCCGTGATACGATCTAGTATGTACAAGGATTCGCTGTGACGCGTGACATTTCGATCCGCACGCTCCCACTGTCCGAAAAAAAGAGGGGAAAGAGAAAGAGAAAGAAAGAAAGAGAGAGATAGAGAGAGACAGAGAGAGAGAGAGAGAAAGAGAGAAAGAGTGAGAGGGTCGTACGGAACTGGTCGTCACTCGTCGAAGTTCTCGTTCTGCACGCGCGTGCCACCGAAAAATTACGGGTGTTACGAACACAGAATTTTTTAGAATTTCGCTAATCGTCTCGCGACATCTCGAATCGGCCGTGTTGTCCGAGCTACTCAGTTTGCCGAGATGCGTCGGTGGCATCGACACGTCCTCTCTCTTTCGCAGATGGCGTTCGTCGCTCGGGCGCGGCGCGCGCGCTTTGCGCTTTTTCTTTTTTTTTTTTTTTTAATACGACCCGAAAAGGCGTAACAAGCTTCTCGCTAAACCGATCCGTCAATGAAACGGAGCGACTGGACTAGTCTTGTCGACTAGCTTGCGGTATGCGCAAGCGCCATGGGCCCAGTGACCCTGGACCTCTCGGGTACCGGCCCAATTTAAAGAAGCCCTTATACATCTGCGTTCGCGCATAAGCCCACGCGATCGTAGAATATCCAAGAGAAACTGCCGGAGCGATATCTTCAAGTGACGAATAACACATTTTATAACATCAACATTGGAAAATTAAAATTAAGATTAATAACATAAAAAATTTTTCATTTTTTTTCTCTCTCTCTCTCTCTCTTTAACATATAATATTCGAATTTCTACTTTTTTTGTACTAAATGTATTGCCAATTATAAATTATAACACACGTAACTATATAGTCATCTAACAATCGTATTTCGTGCATTAATATCCCTGGGTCTTCAAATAAAGAAAATGCTAGTGGGACGAAATTATTTCCGTATGTGATCCTTCTTAAAACTATAAAATTTAAAACGACCGGACGTGCGAAGATAATGTTTCGGTAGCTTTCTCGATGGACCACACCGAATTCGGTTGAACAAGCTCTCTACGATCGCGTCGCTTCTGTTTGGGATACTAATTGGGCCGGGCACCGATTCGGGTATGCAGATGGCATATCGATACTTGTCTGTATTGGCCCAGGGCCTCACTGAGCTTGTGCACTAGGATCGCACTGCAACAGTCGCACGATAGACGGGTCGCTCTTCGCACCCTCTATAAACTCGTCAAGCGATAGCTTGCCGTCCTTGTTCTTATCCATCTGTCGGAATATTTTATCAGTTCGTTTTTCCGGTGTCGACTCGTCCTCCGGCATTTTCATCACGGAGCCCACCATCTTGTAGATCGCCTGAAATCAGTGTTATAATAAAGTATATAGTAAAATTTATTACATACATGGAACATTAGCTCCCAAAACGTGGAAGAGACAATAAAATTTAAGTCAGTAATAAAAAAATTCATAACTCTACATCCTGACTAAACTAATATAAAAATAATAGGTAGTATTATAACATATTAAGAACCAAAAAATTATAATCAAAGTTAATTATATTAGAAACAACGAGAATATATCGTAAAATGATATTCTACATTTAAACATTATGCCATTTTTTGAGTAATACAATATTATGAGTATATAATAAATACAGTCTCTTTCAATTTTCTTCTTATAAGAAATTAAATGAAAATTTTCTTGAATTTGGAGTAGTACAATTTAAAGAAAAACCTTTTATAACTCAATTATAATTTAAAAAGTATTGCTATTTCTCAAAGCATCTTTCTCATTGAGAGTTGTAAAACATTGATATTGCAAAGGGGCTAGAAATACTTAAATCAACGAAATGCATTTAATAACGTGGAAGCGGTGATACGGGTCGACTATACATTATGCTCAGAGTACATTTATTGCGCCGTAAATTGTTAAACTATATTTCGTGGCCTCTCATCCTCGCGGATCCGTGAATCAGATTTTACGGCTTGGCACGTACCGTCACGATTTCCAGCATTTCTTGTCGCGAGATGTAACCGTTGCCATCCAGATCGTACATGCTGAAGGCCCACTTTAACTTCTGCTCCAACTTGCCGCGGGACGTCACGCTGAGAGCGCAGAGAAATTCCCGAAAATCGATCGTGCCGTCGCCGTTCGCGTCGAACGTCCTGAATACATGCTCCGCGAACTACGGGAAGTCGTATAATAAATTTTTAAAGGACGTAAATAATTCCGCGCGGGCCAGCGCACGCGATATGTTAATAAATTTATCGATTACAACCGCGTGCGCGTCTCTGTGCCCGCGGGCGTGTGTAGTCCTTAGTCGGGATTTTTCCATTTTACCTTCGACGCGTCGCCGTAAGGGAAGAAATTCCCGTATATCTTCTTAAACTCCTCCACGCTGAGGTGCCCGCTGGGACAATCCTTTAAGAAGCCTTTGTACCATTCCTGGATCTCCGCATCTTCAAAAGGAAAGGTCATAAAATATTACTTATACCCGGCTACGTTAACGTTACTCACACGTCCCCAGGCGTAAATCCGCGAGCTTAATATTAATAAATATTAATTGATAACGTCGAGCTTAATGTTAACGTTGATGAATATTTGTAATATATTACACTTAATTTTCCGACATGCTCCGGGTATAAAAATATCCCTTGTAAGCTACATCAATCGCACTCTCATTGTAATTTCGAAGAAGCTCGTTTAAGAGATTTAATTTATCCCTTCAATAGAAACTTTTGTTTCATGTCGTTACGCGTGCAATATAGACAAGATAAATAATGAGTGGCACGTCAGAAGGCTTCAGGCTGTTAATTATCCGTAGAAAGCGACGTACCTGAGAATTCGGTATTCTGTTTGAGGTCCTCCAGCACCTCAGGCTTTAGCTTGCTGTTTTGCTTCCCCATGGCTGCTTAAAATCCCTTCCAGAATTCCCCGATTTTCCGCCGATTTTCCGGGACCCAATTAGCAGATAATTAAAGCTCTAACTAGTCTACTATTCTAATAGTGCCGTTAAGCACAACACGCTTCACGGCTGGTATTCCCCACCAGACACGCCTGAAAGAAGAAGAGACGTTCGATAACTTTCGGGGGCTTTCGCGATTAAGCTGGTGGCTTAATGGCAAGGAGCAGAAGCCGGTGGATGTTCGATAGGTCATACCGTTTTTCCCCGCCTCGATTCCCTGCTTCGTGGGAACGACCGTTACCTCGCCGGGCCGCACTCGAGATCAATCGTCTCGCTGCAATTAGCGTGCAAAACGAACGAATGAAAACGCGTCTGGGCGAGATATTTTTCCCCCCTCCGAAGAATCGCAAATTCTATAAGTGACTGAATGTCAAAGGCTATGTAGATATTAAAATCGACGGCAACGACGAAGAGTAAAAAAGATTCCGCGTAAATCAGGTGCGCATGCTGTTAAGGTCCTTTGAGCTCTATTAACGTATTCAACCTTTGCGATCAGCACCGTTAAATATTATAGTCACCGCTGCAAGAAAGAAAAACAGTTAACGCACCGGCGGCGTCAAAATTATTTAAGAGAAAGATGTTCCGGACAGTATACGCCTGTCCAAAATTGGGATGTAAAACGTCTTTAAAACTTCAAATCGTTTTATGTGCCGATTTTGGACATGGTGATGCTTAGATATGGTTCCACCGTCATTCTTTCAACTCATTCGATTCTCGTTGGATCATTATATCGGAAGCAAATCTTTAATCTGAATTACGAGCGTTTTACATATCTATTGATTTTACGTCGGTTTTACGTATCTATCCCGACGAAATGCATTTGCAACGTATAAAAAAAACGAAGGGAATTACGTTTTTTGGGGATGATAATAAGGGCGGAAAGGTTTAGGACAGAACGGACATTCTCAAATACACATTCGCAATCATACGCATTCACGCAACTGCAACAGAAGAAAATTACAAGATTAATATAGCAATAATAATACATTTGGAGCATAGTGTGTGCTTTATTGTAATAATATTAGTAATGAGACGATAATATGCGGACTCTCGCAATCCCTCGCCGCGCGTAACTCGCATACAAAATACGAGTTTGCTCGATATACATATGAAGTCATATATAAGATCGGAAGAGCACACGT